ACTTTGTATCCCTAGGTATGTTCCCTCCCTCTGCAAGTCCAACACACCACTGTGGTCTTTCTTTCCTTCCTTCTTTCTCTCTTAGCTCGCACTTATGAGCGAGTACATATGGTATTCATCCTTCTGTGCTTTGCTTATTTCCCTCAACATAAGTTTCTCCAAGCTTATCCATGTTGTTGCAGGTGGAAGAATTTCATCTTTTTTATGGCAGATTAGTATTCTATGGTGTATGTATACCACATTTTCCTTATCCAATTGTCCGTTGATGGGCATTTAGGTTGGTTCCATATCTTGACTATTGTAAACAGAGCTGCAATGAACATGGGAGTGCAGGTATCCCTTTGACATGATGATTTCCATTCCTTTGGGTATATACCCAGAAGTGGGATTGCTGGATTGTATGGAAGATCTATCTGTAGTTGTTTGAGAAATGTCTATACTGTTTTCCATAGTGGGTGTACTAATTTACAGTTCCACCAACAGTGTATCTTCTATAGTTTTTGAAGGAAAGCTTAGCCGAACGTAGTATTCCTGGCTGACAGTTTTTTCTTTAAGCACTTTGAACATACTGTCCCACTGCCTTTTGGACTGCAGGGTTTCTGCTGAGAAATGCAACAATCATATACAAAGTTATCTTGTATATGACAAGTCTCTTTTATTGCTTTCAATTCTCTGTCTTTGTCTTTACTTTTAATAATTTGTTTCTAATATGTCTTTGTGTGTGTGTCTTTGGATTAATTTTAGTTGGAGTTGGTTTCGCTTCTTCAATCTGTGTATCCATTTATTTTCTTAGTTTGGAATGTTTTGGACATTATGTCTTCAAATGAGTTTGCTGATCCTCTCTCTTCATCTTGTGAGACTCTCAAAATGTGTATATTATTCCACTTGGTGGTGTCCCATGAGTTTACTAGGGTGCTTGCTCTTCATTTCTTTCTTTTTTGCTTCTCAGATTAGTTAATTTTCAATAACTTGTAGTTAAGTTTGCTCATTCTTTCTTCTGCCTAATTTATTCTGCTGTTGAACTCCTTTAGTGAATTTTTCAATTCAGTTATTGTTTTTCAGTTCCAAAAGTTCTGATTGGTTTTTAAAAAAATAATTGCTCTCTTTTAAAAATTTAATTGTTTTTGTTATCTTTTAGCTCATTGAGCATCTTTAAGATAATCATTTAAAATTTTTGTCAAGTAATTGAGAGGACTAACTGGGTTTTAGAGTTTTTCCAAAGTTATTTTGCATAATGTATCGTTACCTTAGTGTCTTAATGAGAGAATGAGGATCTGGAGTTTTCTCTCTGCATATTGATGACATCACTCCTTGTGCCTTTTTTACATCAGAGTCTTTGTTCAAAGGTCCAGTGAAATTATTTCAAATAATTACAGGAATGAAGAAAATAGATGCTGTTATATATTGAACAAAGAGAGTGACCCTGAAAATTTTAATATGGCAGAATTGATAAGTTTCTTTTAAAAAAAACATTACATATAATTATATTCTAGTTAGTGAGGTTTTCATTCAATTTCACTGATGTCATCAAGTGCAGATTTTGGCAACATCCTCTTGCTAGTTTTGTTTCCCTAAACCTATCTCTACCCACTTGAATGAGAGGAGAAAAAACAAACTGTGGTTCCTCTGCTTTCACACACAACAGTCAACACAGAAAACTTCTGTTGCCAGATGTGTGGTGATTCTCCCCACCAACGAGGAAGCAGGTACTTCTGCAGTAGACACCAGGTGGGTATCCTCTATTTCCATTTTGACACTATCTACCTGGAAAAAGTATCAGATCCCATGGTTGAGGGCTCAGTCCCCAAGACTGCCTCCCCCTAATTTCTGATGCCATTTGCAAGCTACAGATTGTTGTACCTGTGCTTCTAACCCACTGGGTATAAATTGGGATTTGCATGACCCACTTTTTGGGTTTGACTGATTTGCTGAGCAGCTCACAGGATTCAGGGGAAAACTTGCTTACCTTTACCAGTTTATTATAAAAGATATATTAAAGGATACAGATGAAGAGATGCATAGGGTGAGGTATGGGGCAATGGGTGTGGAGCTTCCTTACCCTCCCCTGACACACTACCCTCCAAGACCGTCTGTGTATTTAGCTATCTGGAAGCACCTTGGACCCTGTGCTCTTGTGTTTTTATGGAAGCTTCATTACATAGGCATAATTCAAGGATGGACAACCGTGTAGAAATGTTATTGGACAAAAATGGCATGATCAAACACTGACTGGGAAAACCAAGGAAGGCCCATATGTTCAGATTCTTCTTAGCCTGTCTATTCAGCATTCCTTCCTCCTGGGCATGGGGCAGGGCCCCTCCTGAAATGGGAGTCTTATCACCTATAGTTAGACAGTATAAGTTAGAGAATTTCTTTATGGCCAACTTCAAGACAGAAAGGTGGGGGAAGATAAGAATTGTGCTTGGAGAGCTGGGAACTGTGGACAGAGACCGATATATATATCATAGTATTACACCACTCATCTAGTGAATCATCATTCTGCACCTATGGTCTTTCTTGATTGCTTTGTCATTTCCATTCTTCCCCTTCCTCCATCCTGGCCTTTCCTCATGTTTCCTTGATCTGGATGGACTATACTGTTACTTCATAGCATGTTAATTTTTGTGCTCCTGAACACCTCTATTTCCATAGGACCTCCTCACTCCCCACACTGTTCTTATTGTATAAGGAAAGACATCTGCACACCCACTGGTGAACTTTCTCAGGACACTGCCTAGATTAATATATGCTGTGGGTGATGACTCACATACAATAAAGGATGACTAACACTAGTAGCAAAACAGTTCACCTCTTGTATCTTGCTTGAAATATCTCCTTGTATACTCCTGTTTGCTGTGAACATTGTTTTGTATACTGCCTGAGTAAACAGTTGTATTTAAGGACATGTTTTCTGAGCCTGGAGGCTAAGGATCAAATCTTGTTCTTCTCACTTTCTGTATATTGGGGTTAGATACATAAATGCCATTGACTCACTGTCTCTTTTTTAACAAATAATGATGATTTACCTTAAGGTTTTTAAAACAAGTTAGTGCTGTTAGATGGCTAAGAATATTGCATGTTTTATTGTAAAGATTCAAATGTTCCTTTGTTTCATAAGATTTATCAACCTTTTGTCATGTTTATGATGAGGTGGTCATTTTGATTTGTTAGTCCCCTCAACCTGCTGTTAGAAATACCATAGACTGGGGCTGGCCAGTTAGCTCAGTTGGTAGAGTGTAGTGCTGCTAACACCAAGGTCAAGGGGTTGTATCCTCTTACTGATGAGTCATTGAAAAAAAAAAAAAAGAAAAATGTAAATCTTATGTTCAGGCTGGCAGGTTAACTCAGTTGAGAGTGTGGTGTTACAACACCAGAGTTAAGGGTTGGATATCCATACTGGCCAGCCTCAAAAAAACCACAACAAAAAAACCCTACTTTGGGGCTGGCTGGTTAGCGGTGGTTAGAGCACTGCTTATAATACCAAAGGGCAAGGGTTTGGATCCCCATACCAAGGGAAAAAAAAAAAAAAAAAAGAAATACCGTAGACTGGATGTTTAAACCAGAGAAATTGATTTTTCACAAATCTAGAGGCTGGGAAATTCAAGTTAAAGGTATTAGCCAAATTGATTCCTGGTTAGTGCTCTCTTCTTGGTTTCCAGACATCTTCTTGCTGTGTTTTCACATGGAGGAAAGAGTGAGAGGAAGCAAGCTCTCTGGTGTCTCTTCTTATAGGTGTACTAGTCCTATTCATGAGTGTCCCACCTTCATGACTTAATTATCTCCTAAAGTCCCGCCTATAATAAAATCCTACTGAGGAATAGGACCTCAGCATATAGAATTTGGATGACAAAAACACTCAGACCACAGAGCCTGTATTATGGTTTGTATCAAGTTTTTATTTTTCAATTTGTTAGTTAATACATTTTCCAAGTGTAAACTGTATTAATATTTTATTGCAAATGAACAAGTTAATAAAAAGGCAATTGCATATATGAGTACTTCAAAAAGTTCATGGAAAAATAGAATTAAAAGATGATACAAATCTTTCCATGAACTTTTTGAAGAACCTGCATATTGAGAATTGCTCTACTGATTGGCTGTTATGTAACTGCAGGCCTTAAATCATAATTGCCATCCGACTGGACTTTGTTCTCCAGTTCATATTCCTTATAATGCTATGTGTTTACCTCACCTGATATATCAAAAGTCTGTAATCTTAACCTATATATTTTTTTATTGTGTAGTGGTTTTCAAATGAGGTTCTTGCTTTTCTTGTGATAGGGAATTGTTCAAAATTCCACAGACTTTAACTTTGTATAAATACAGTTACTAAACATTTGCCTGCTGGTTTTATCATGTGTTTCTACAGTGTTTTATTAAGTTGTATTATGATTTACAGATGATGGTTTTTCAGCATGTATTATGCAATGTAACTGATAGCCAACACTTATTAATGTCACAAAAAGTCTGGTCTGTGTGGATATAGATAGTTTTATAACAGGTATTCAAAAAAATATTGTCTTTTTATAACATTGATTTTTTAGCTTTTTCCTCACTTTCTTATTATTATTGTTTTGCTACTCAGAGTTGCCATTTATTTAGATTATTTGTTACCTGAGTTTGCTGTGTATTATTCATCATTACCCTGTAGCATTCTGTGCTTTTGCATTTATTTCTGCATTATAAATAAAAAAATATATAATATAATGTTATTTTTCTTCAATTATGACACAGTCATATGTTTTCAGCTAATTGGTGTGCACTTTAGTTTCATGGTGGAAAGATATTTCTTCTTTAAGGGCTAACATAAGTTTCTGCACTATGATTCTTTTGGTTATATATTGCATGAAACTATGCTGCCTTCCACTTAATTTGTATTACTTTTAATGCACCTTTCCTTATTTAGAAAGATCTATTTCTTTTGATTTCCAAAAAAAAAAAAATTCTGTACTTCAGTAGGAAACATTTATTTACCGTCTCTCATCCTATTTATCTTGCAGATATCACTCCTAAATGTGTGATCAACGAATTACCACTGAGAGTGAACAGTAATACAAGAGAACTATTCCAAACACTTATGTTGGAAAAACAAGAAAGCCATGACATTGAAGATTTTTGCTTCAGAGAAATCTGGAAAAATACACATAACTGTGAATATCAGTTAAGGAGAGATGATGAAAGACATTACAAAGGAGTGTATATAACCCATAAGGAAAATCTCACTGGTGGAAGATATCAGCATGGTAGAAGGGATTCAGAAAATGAGCCTATTAAAAATCAGCTTGGATTAAGCTTTCAGTCACATTTGCCTGAACTACAGCTATTTCGATCTAAAGGGAACATTTATGAATGTAATTACATTGAGAAGTCAATCAACAATGGTTCTTTAGTTTCACCACCCCAAAGAAATCCTTCTCATGTCCAAACCCACATTTCTCATAAAATTGAAAATGATTTTTTGGATTCTTTTTTATTCACACAAGAACAGACACCATACATGAGGACAAAACATTACAATTATAATGAGTGTGAAAAGACCTTTAATCAAGGCTCACACCTCACACTACATCAAATAACCCATACCAGAGAGAAACAGTTTAAATGTGATATATGTAACAAGGTCTTCGGTAAAAAGTCAAACCTTGCAAGTCATCAGAGAATTCATACTGGAGAGAAACCTTACAAATGTAATGAATGTGGCAAAGTGTTCAATCATATTTCACACCTTGCACAACATCAGAGAATTCACACTGGAGAGAAACCTTACAAATGTAATGAATGTGGCAAGGTGTTCAATCAAATTTCACACCTTGCACAACATCGAAGAATTCATACTGGAGAGAAACCTTACAAATGTAATGAGTGTGGAAAGGTATTCCATCAAATTTCACACCTTGGACAACATCAGACTATTCATACTGGAGAGAAACCTTACAAATGTAATGAATGTGGCAAGGTCTTTAGTCGTAATTCATACCTTGCACAACATCTAATAATTCATACTGGAGAGAAACCTTACAAATGTAATGAATGTGGTAAGGTCTTCAATCATATTTCACACCTTGCACAACATCGGAGAATTCATACTGGAGAGAAACCTTACAAATGTAATGAATGTGGCAAGGTCTTCAGTCACAAGTCATCCCTAGCAAATCATTGGAGAATTCATACCGGAGAGAAACCTTACAAATGTAATGAATGTGGCAAGGTATTCAGTCGTAATTCATACCTTGCACAACATCTGATAATTCATACCGGAGAGAAACCTTACAAATGTAGTGAGTGTGGCAAGCTGTTCAGTCAGCATTCACATCTTGCAAGTCATCGGAGAATTCATACCGGAGAGAAACCTTACAAATGTAATGAATGTGGCAAAGTCTTCAGTCAAAATTCTTACCTTGCATATCATCGGAGAATTCATACTGGGGAGAAACCTTATAAATGTAATGAATGTGGTAAGGTCTTCAGTCTAAACTCATCTCTTGCACATCATCGGAGAATACATACTAGAGAGAAATGTTACAAGTGTAATGAGTGTGGCAAAGCCTTTAGTGTGCATTCAAGCCTTATTAACCATCACGTAATCCATACTGGAGATAAACCTTTTAAATGTAATGAACGTGGCAAGGTTTTTAGTGACAATTCATTTCTTGCATGTCATCAAAGGTTTCATACTGGAGAGGAAGTTTACAAATGTAATTAATGTGGCAAGGTCTTCAGTTAAAATTTTTCAGATATTGGACTATTCATTCTGTAAAGAAACTTCATAGGTTTAATGAAAGTGGCAAAGCCTTTCGTTTTTGTTCAAGAATTAATAACCATCAGTTAATACATAGTGGAGAGCAACCTCACCAATAGATTGGATGTGTCAGGGCCTTAAGGCAAAAGTCTGACAGGATTCTCCAAAGAATTTATGATGGACGGAAACCTGACAAATGTAATGAGAATGGCAAATCTTTTAGTGTATGTTCACTCCTCATGACACATCAGATAATCCACACGTGAATTTAATGAATGTAGCAAGGTCTTATGGCATAATTCACACCAGGCACAATATTGGAGAATTCATACTTGAGAGAAACCTTATAAAAAGCAATGAGGGTGGCAAACCCTTCATAATGAGTTTAAGCATCAGTCAACATCAGAGGATCTATACCAAAGAGATATGTATAACTGTAATTTATGTGGCAGAGACTTGTTCCAGACCTCAAAACTCACTGAGCATCAAAAAATACATCTTTGATGAAAACATACAAAGGTAAGGTGCATGCTAAGGCTTTTATCAAAGCATTAAACTTCAATTTCAGAGGATTTATACTGGAGAGCAACCTCGCACATGTAACGTATAATGTCTTGTCAAACATTTGTGATTTTGTCGTGAGGTTTATGCTAGATAAACACTAGACAAATATAGTGAATCTGGAAAGTTCATTAGTTAAGATATTTCCTCAGGGGCCGGCCCGGTGGCACACTGCTGCAGTGCGCCGCTTGGGAGTGTGGCGGCGCTCCCGCCGAGTGTTTGGATCCCACATACAGACTGGTTCCCGCTCACTGGCTGAGCGAGTTGTGGGTGCAGCGCCGAGGTTTGCGATCCCGTTGCCGGTCCCGGTCCGGTATGGGCGCAACACTGAGGGTTGCGATCCGTTGCTGGACACGAAAAAAGACAAAAACGAAAAAAAAAAAAAAAGAGATATTTCCTCAGGATTACCAAGGAATTTATACTGAGAAGAACTCTTGAATATATAATGATATGGGAAATTATTTAAACAATTCTTGCTGTATACTCCACATCATTAAATGTGTATGAGGGATAAATAAGTCTCTAATTCTCCAAGTTTAACCTTTGATGTTACACAGTGCAGAGTGATTACAAGTCAAAATACATTAAAACATATGACATATATTAAAGGCACAAGATATCTTGAAATGGCTATTTATCTTCAGGTTATAAAGTATTCCATCATTTGAGGTTTTTTAGAAAGGCTACTGTTCTGATGCTCAAAATAAAGTTTGAAATCTATTGATATTATGACTTCCATACAGGCCTTTCACAGTGTTCTATGGGAAAGAATCAATAGGAGGAAGGGGTCTACTTCATTAGGTGAGGATCATTCCTTTCTGTGTTCCTGTAGAACAAAGATACCGTCTATTGAATTTAAATATTGTCTGAATTAGCACTTGGAAGTGGCTGGGAAAAATGTAAAAGTATGGTGTCAGTTATTATGTTTATTGCATTCAGGACACCCTCTCCACACAGAGGGACACTGGGATGCAGGAAAGGAATGCTTTACTAACCAACCATGGAATACAGGAATCCAAGACCTTAGGAGATGAGGATTTTTATTGGAGGAGAGTAATTTGTTACCAGGGACTGGTTATGTGGTAGAAATAATGTACAGGAATTGGTGGTTGCTTTCTCCGTTGAATGGCAGTATCTATTGTATAAGAAGACAGATGAAAAAATACTCTTATTCTTGAAATTGAAGAGAGAAGAGTTATCAGAGAGGAGAGTTTAATCAAAAAAACCACAATAGCATGTTTTTGGTCAGAAGCCCATTAAACTGCTGGCATTACATTCATTTCATACTGTTTTATTCAGAATGTATCCTAGATCTTGTGTTAATAAAATTTAATCATATCATAGGTATGAATGAGTCATGTTCTTTCATGTTCTGTATGTAAACTAGCAGCTTCATGTATTCACCCCCATAACATTTTTGGTGATTTGTTCTTGTGACCACTCCACTGGACCTGGATTGAACACCACCCAAAGGCTGGTTTGTTAAGGATGATGCCATACACTGAAGTGCTATGTGAAAGTTCTCTTACATAATGAGGTGCTCTGGTAAAAGCAGATTAGACTTCCTAAACTTGTCCAAAAATGGCTTGAGAGAGCTGGGATAAATGTTTGGCTTGTGTTATCATGGTCACTGAGTGGGGCTGGAGTGAGGGTACCCAGAACTGTTTTGAACTTCTAGCTGCAGGCAAAGAAAGGAGCACTCGGGTTTTATTATCAACTTGTCTAGATTGGCCAGCAGAAAGAGAGAGTGGTGTTTGCTCTTGATGTTCCTGACTTCTTGGATGGGAAATATCACAATTTTTTTCATGCTAATAGCATGAAAAATGACATTCCTATTCCTGTTACCCACATAGGTCCCATTCCACAATATGATGGTTGAATATGTTTTTGAAATACTCTTTAGATAAATAGCCTGGCCTATTTTATAGTAGCTCAATGAAAATTAATGTGTAGAAAAGGTTATTAGATAATAAGTATGATTATTAAACAATACTACTTTTAGAAATATTTTCAAAGGCTATAAAAATATCAATTTCAGATGATGGTATTAATATATTAATGGATCACTTTCAACTGCAGAACTTTTTTTTTTTTTTTTTGCTTTGTATATGAATTTTTCTTACCATTTTTTTTCCTTCCGTACATTATTCCAGTTTATATATTGAATGTAGATTTCTTCCAGGTGTTATTGCAGTGAAAAATACAAATAGGGGATACATAAATGAATGTGGTGTTTGGAGATAAAATTTTGTGTCATGAAAGTACACATAAGTCCATGGCAGATACAAACTAGTTGCTCTATAATTATGAAAAAGGAATGTTTCTTTAAGACTTTAATAAAAGAACTGAAATGATACAAGATGGTGAACTGAATGTTGTAATGTGGGAGTTGACTAAATATAGGTGCTTGAAAAACAACTGCGTGTATGTTAACCAGCACCTAGTGAAGTAAATTAATATATCATGGTCGATAAGAGAGTCTCCACGATTCCAACTGTACTTTGTAATGAGATAATCTCCATTTCCTCATTTCTTAAAATCACTCTACCACTTCTCATCACTAGGATTCCTGTTCAGAGCCAGAGAATTTTGCAGGGAAGTGATGTTTGTGCTACTTTAACATGGAAACTGACACCCATAAATCTCTCTTTGATTTGTTACCATCTAGAAATTTCTAATAAATAGAATTTCCTTTATATCAGTCACATTTAGAGTAAGAATCACTGTTAGTAGTGCTTTATGTATAATAAACAATTGAGTTTTCAGGTCTCTGAAATAAGTATTGATGATATTCTCATTTCACAGAGGAAATGAAGAAACCTAGGGCAAAAACAGGTTAAAAGATTCATTCAGTTACATTCCTGTCAGTGCCTGATTCAAGACTGAATCCATACTTTCTGGCTGCAAAGACAAGTGTTAACCATTGTGCTGACTAACAGGGTTATTTCTATCCTTCAACTATTTGACATTTGTATTTAATTTGTTAGTAGTATCTCTTAATTTTTAATTTTAATTTTATTTTATTTTTAAAAGATGGCTGGTAAGGGGATGTTAACCCTTGACTTGGTGTTGCCAGCACCATGCTCTCAGTGAGTGAACCGGCCATCCCTATATAGGGATCCAAACCCATGTCCTTGGTATTATCAGCACCACACTCTCCCGAGTGAGCCATAGGCCGACCCATTATCTCTTAATTTTTAAATGATTCTACTTCATATATACTTGTGGCCATGGTAAGTTTCTACTGTCTATACTTTTATTTCATAGGCCAATAAATACTACCTATGAATTAATAATTAAATGAACTTTAGATAAACTGGTAATCCTAGAAGGAAAATGATCCAAAAGGAAGTTGGATTTATTGGCTGAAGAGTGATTCACTACTGTGATGGAGAGAGCTCCCTAAGCTAGGAGCAAGAATAAAATGATAACAATCACCCAAGTAATTGTACAATATTGTGGGCAGCTAAGGTATAGAATCTGAAACATGAGAAGGTAATAAACCATTTTTGAGTAGAGACATATTAATATTACTGTCAATTATTGAAATAGATTGAACAAAATACATAAGTAAAGTTGAATCTGGAAGGTATGGAATTATGTGCATTAAATAAAGTGAAATAGAGTTGTAGTGAATGTAGGGGTGACATGAGAATTTTAAAAATATATTTATTGAGATACAATTTATTAAACATGAGATCGTTTTATATTCAGTGTGCAACTCAATGATTTTTTAGTACATTTACAGAGTTGTGACATCTTCAAAGTCTCTTTTTAGAACAATTCTATCAGTATTTAAAAAGAGAAAAGTTTTCTTTTTTTTTGTGACTGGTAAGGGGATTGTAACCCTCAGCTTGTTGTCATCCACACCGCGCTCAGCCAGTGAGTGCACCGGCCATACCTATATAGGATCCGGCCCAAAAAGAGAAAAGTTTTAACTTGAGTAGAAAAATATCACATGATATACATGAAGGTTGAAATTGTTGAAGCACGTGTTCTTTTTTCTTCTTGATGTCAAACCTCATTGATAACATTAACTCTTTAGACAAGCAGACAGGTTCACATTGGGAAAGCAGAAAATGCTGAGGTTGACTGTTAATGGATAGTGATCTTAACATCTTTTAACTTTTGCCCATTTGCCCTGTGTAACTGCTTCAGTGTAGTGTCTCTTCATGACTTTGCCCATTTATCCTCTGTTGGGGACTTTTACAGATCAAAAGTTTTAATTGGTTGAAGTTCTGTTTATCATTTTATTTTTAATTTTCTTAATTTTTTTCAGTTTCAAACATCTAGAAAAACAGACAAGTATATTAAACACACCTGTAATCAGCATTTAATAACAATATTTTTCCATATATGCTTTATTTTTTTTTCTGTTCAGTATTTCACCCCTAAATACTTTGATAGGTATCTTTAAAAAACATAAGCATATTTTCCTACTTAATCCCAGAATCTTATAAATACATGTTGATACCTATATCTACAACACTGCATTTGGTTGGTATGTCTCTCTTCCTCTCTAAATAATAGACTTTATTTTTATAGGAGTTTTAGGTTTACAGAGAAATTGAGCAGAAAGTACAAATAGTTCTCATAACACACCCCCCACCACACACACACACACACAGAGTTTCTCCTAGTATTAATGTGTTACATTAGAGTGGTATTTTGTTACAATTGTGAACCAATATTGATATATTATTTTTTAAATTTTACATTAGGATTCCCTCTGTGTTGCACAGTTCTGTGGGTTTTGCTAAATGTATAATGTCATGTATTCAACATTACAATATTGCAGAATTGCACTATCCTAAAAATCTTTTGTGCTTCACTTATTTTTATTTTTTATTTTTTATTTTATGCTAGCTGGCCGGTACAGGGATCTGAACCCTTGACTATACTTCACCTGTTCATTTCTCTCTTCATCCCTTTCCTGAAATCCTGACAACCACGGGTTT